CTCCTACTTGGAAAGCCGAATGCGACTTCTTGAAGAAGCTGCCACGGAATGCCTCCCATGTATTACCCACTCTTTGGTGATCAGGGAGGCTTTGTTCTGTCAGCGCAACATCGAGAAAGCATTGAATTTGGAAGATATGCATTATGGAATGTAGCTTGCGCCACTTTGATTGGAATGAAATCCACTTTGAATGGAACGGTGTCCTGTTTTTTGTACGGCTCCGGATGTTTCAAACGTTTTCTATTTTTTATTCTCCACTTTGATTGGAACAAAGTGCCAACTTGATCGGGAAAAGGTGTACACTCTGGCAATAATTGCAGACGAATATTCAAGGCCATACAAAATACAAGTATGAAGAATGTGTATTTAAAATGATTAGTCCGCCGCCGTGTCCGCTGACGGCGCCATCGTCGAGAACTTCTTCGGCCGGGTGTGCATCTTGTGGATATCTCCTCCAGTACGCTTGTGTGGGGAACTAAGATCTTTGATGGAATCCAGCGACTCACTTTTGCTCTGATCAACTTCCACATCGGTCTCATGCCGCTCCGTAAAGCCGACCGCCACCACTATCGTTCCGTTCTGGCCCAATATGCCCGCATGGCCGACAAGAAGATCACTCAGCGTGCTATGACCCAGCAACCGCTATGTCCAGCGTCGTGCTGAGCGCCTTGCGATGGGTTTGATGCGTGCGTCTTTCGCTGCTCGTGGCCCTTTCTTGTGTCCATCTCCGAACATCTGATCGACTTTTGAGAAAGGATGGAGTCAATTTGGAAATGGGCAGGTCTATTCCTCTTTACCATGTCGTAAATCAGAGAGACTACTTCTGAAGATACAACCCTGTCTCTATTCAATAGGCAGCATCTTTCCTGTGAACCCAAGTCATGTGCCATTCAGAGGCTCATTTACGAAATGTACGGCTGTTTGAAGTCGTGATTTAATATGTTGACAAGCTCACTCAATTCGTCCAGAGGGCTCTCTCCTTCAATTCGCCGGTCCAACTGCTGCAAGGTAACCATGTCGT